AAAATACGAAACAGCTCGTGCAGAGATTCGAACCCTGAACCTGTAGATCAGAAGTCTACGATGCTATCCACTACATCACACGGCTATACAAATATGTATGTTTTTGTTCCTTCTGTTTTGGGATTTTCACTTTGAAGTTCAAAAACTACTAAACACTCTTCACTAGTGCTCACTCTGCTGGTTCGCAAGCCAAGCATCCTTTTATTTTTCTTCTGTACAACGTTGTTGGAATGATCTAAAAAGTCAAGACACTTTGTTTTTAATTTTAGATTAGTGAATAATAAACCTTGAAATGTGGGTGTGATTTCGCGTGTAAATATTTTTTCCTATTTCAGATTGAATTTTCAAATAGTCTCATTCAGGACTGTAATCTCCCAAAAAAAAAGTTGATAGAGTTCAGCCATTTTTCACTCCAGTTTGTTTGTAATCATTCAGTAACCAGCATAATAAATCACAGAAAGTGCCTCTTGTTTTTGATTTGGTTGATGAAACAGAACCTGAATTATTGTTTGTATGAACGAAATAGTTGGAAAATACATGTTGCATCTACGACAGAGATGAAGAGCCTTCTGCAGAAGACAAAATAATTCCAGTTAAAAACGACTGTTCGCCTTTCTTACTATCCTCATCAGCAAAATATTTGATGACAATAAAAAGTCCTTCATCCCCAATTTCTGTAATGATCTTCTAGTTTCGAATTTTCTAGAGATCCTTTATTTTCTAAGCAACTAAGGTCTAATTGAAACGTCGGCTCCCATCAGCCCACGTACTTCGAGCTTTCGATTAAAACGAAGAAAATCTCTGTAAGATGAATCATTATTGAAAAAAGTGTCGTACACTGAGCATACCTGCATAAAGGGTGTGTTATGAGAGAAAACGTTGCGCATCAGTTGATCCAATTAGGACCCGATGGAAACTGCTTGGAAGTCTTTGACGCAAGTTCATACAGAGTTGTGCGCGATCTTATTTTGATCAGAAAAGTTTACTCTACGCGTTCAGAAGAAGAATTAATACCATAAACATCTAGGAGAAAGCTATTATTTGAAGATCCCGTTTTTCGAGGCTCCTCGAAAACTGTCACCTTAAAAGGGGCTTAAAATCCTCGCTACATACATCAAACAAACGAGCTTCGATAACAGGCATATTTTACTGAATAATAAAAATTGAGAATAGAAATAACTTGTCACAATCAAACGATGCGAGTCAGATACACAAATCGATCAAGTCAAGAAAATAGACTACAGTTTCTCTCCTTCATTTCTTTTTCAGTCAATTTGAACAACACTCTTTTTTCTGCTATATCGATGTGTACTACCGATCACACAAACCATAGATGAACGAAAAACAGGGATATACAGAAACAAAAGAAAATAGAAGGAATACGTTAGAAGAAAATGAAATAATTTTCACACGTAATTTCTCCTGCTTTCTTTTTTTTTACTGTCTTTTCTTTTCTTTTCTGTTATCGGTGAAAAAATTGTCCGTTACGAGTTTTGACTGCTTCTCTTATTTTGTTCAAATATGTTTATTGTATTATACTTATTAGAACAAAAAAATCATCTCTTTCCCTACACATCGTCAGAGAGATAAAGTCCTTATTATTATTGATTGAGCAGAGAGAATAAGAATAATTCAACATAGAAAGAACTTGGTCAGATTAAACAAAAAGAAGAATAGCTAGCAGAATGGTTAGTGTAAAACGATGAAAGATAAATATGAAGAGAAATGAGAAAGTACAAAATACCAGACACGTTTATTCTTTCACTTCTAGAAACCGTTTAGATATGTAAATAAATTCTACAATTGCATGATAGATAAAAAGAAAATGTTTTTACGTAAAATACACATCAAGACTGAAGGTGCAAGAACTTTCTATCTGTGAGATTTTATTTCTTAGAGCTTTTTATTGAATCAGGCATAATACACACCTCAGAAAGTAACGTTCAACAGTTTCTGTCTGCCGGGATTTACGTAAATTATACCAGTTTTTTATGATGGACAACGGGAGTCAAGTATGTCGGCACTATACTCCTCTAGTTACATTATGAAGTAAAATACTTTTGTTTTTATTTTCTAATTTTTTTAGTTCTTGTATATTATTTACATTTCCTTTTTATACACGTGTATATTGGCAGTCCGAGAATTCTTGACTCTGAATGAAACTACGCTTCTTAATATCACGATTCTCCTTGAATAAATAAAGATTTATGTATTCGAATCATCAATATGATAGTTTGACTAGTTACTTGATATATATACATATATCCTCACAAAAAATTTGAATTAATCGTTTCTGTTTTAGATAACACAACATGTCACTATCTGACCAATCGAGCAAACCAAATGGTGACTGGACTAATCTTTTAAGGAATAAAGTAGTTTTTTTAACTGGTGGTGGTGGACATATTGGCCGTTCGATTGCTCACACCTGCTTTTTACATGGTGCTAAAGTTGTTGTAGGTGATGTGAATCTGCAAGCAGCAAATGATACAACAAAACAGATATCAGCGGAAAATCAAGATCGTTTATTGAGCGTTCACCTCGATGTGACAGATGAAAATAGTATCAAACATGCGGTGAAAGTAGGTGTAGACAAGTGGAATGCCATTGATATTTTAGTGAACTGGTATGAGCAGATGTTTATTAAGTCTATGATAAAACAAAAAAAAGATTATTGTAATTGTTTGTCTTGTTAAAAGATTATTGATGAATGGAGCGCAAGGAAACATTCAAAAAATTCAATATACCGACGGATTTTAGAAATCAAATATAATAGCTTAAACATCAGATATCAAATAATTTAAGGCAAGACAAATAATTACCCAGGTGAACCACGTCTTGTAAGACCTTGCAAGATCTGATGTTTTCTTGTGAAATCTTGTAATAAGATCTTATGATATGATCTTACAAGATCTTATAAGATCGATGACTCATGTCTACCACGTAAATTTTGTGACGGAATTCGTATATATATAACATCATTCTCTTTTCAACTTCACACGTCAGCTGAGCACATATGAAATGCACGGTTAAGAAACGTGACAAAAGACGCTTCTATGGCCGCCAAGGATCTGTGCATGTTAGAAATTATATAGAAAAAGAAAACTGCAGAGGTACAGAGGGATCCGACAGGAAATGATCAAGCGTATGATCTTGTAAGATCATATAAAATCTTGTGACTTCCTTTAAGGTCAGATAAGTTTCTTACAGCTTCTTGCTGTAAGATTACACAGGATCTTGTGCATTCCTATTATAGGAAAATTCGTATAAGAATCTTGGTACAAGATGTCATATGAATTCTGGTAAAATCTTACAGGAAATTGATAAGCATTTATCTGATTCTTGGACATGGGTACACCAACACACAAACAATTATATTGATTGCGCATATTTTCATACTGCTTCGGAAAAAACTAATATAAACATTGTTATAAATCTGATATAGATCACTAGCACGTACGATTTATGTACAAAATTTCTTACAAAAAAGAATAATATTGTATAATGAGAGCTTTTTTTTTATTTTTAGCGCAGCTGCATTCAACGTGGGAATTATCGAAAACGTCTCGGATTCTGATTGGGACACAGTATATAAGATTAACATTAAAGGTTGGTTTCTAAATTCCACAGCCTGAATGATATCTATGGAACATGAGAGGAATATTTATTTTACTTAACCCATGTCCTCAAAACTGCACTTACTCGGAATTTTATACTTCTGATTTTTCGAAAAATCTGGTGTTTCGTATATTGCTTGGTTAAAAGTTTTCTGACTCTGCAAGAATGTAAAGAAAACTTTTCTCAATAAAATGAAAAGTCGGACAGGTCTCCACGATTGTTTTGTGATTTTAACAGCGATGCCTCAAAAACATACAATCGAGTATCGAGTACTCATTTGGTCTCTTATGTAGTAGCGCTACCAAAATCTCAAAACAAATCATGCGGAGCTGTCCGACCTCTCATTTTATAGAGAAATGTTTTCTCTACATTCTTGCCGAGTCAGAAAACTTTTAACCAAGCAATATACGAAACACCAGATTTTTCAAAAAGTATAAAATTCCTAGTCAATTACTCAGTGCATGCTACTCAAAACCGAAAAAGTACCGCTCGATCACAGTTGAGTACCCCGGCGGCTATACTGGTAGCAAAATCAAAATTACCGCACGGTCAATGTTCGGGTTACCGCCGGTATAATCAGCGGTGCCGCCCGGTAGGTTGTCATTATGACTATGCGGAACGGTGGTTTGCAACTGTTTTTTGTTAAGTGTTTGTGGGCGCAGAGAGGCTCTGTAACCGGCGGTAATTTGTTCAACTGATGGTATTTTAAAAGTAGTTCAAAATGGGAAGTTAAGAATTAGAATTTGATATTATTTTTCTTCTGTCTCTCTTCACTAGGTATTGCCTTGATGATAAAAGAAGTTGTTCCAATTATGAAAAAGCAACGTAGTGGCTCTATTATTAATATTTCAAGTGCGGCTGGAATAGTTGCCATACCAGCCTTTTTACCATATGCGACAACGAAAGGGGCATTAATACAGATGTCAAGAAACTTAGCATTAGATCTTGGGCAATATAATATTCGTGTGAATTCAATTAGCCCAGGCGCAGTAGGTTCGTTATAAATTGAAGATATTTTCCTTGTGCTAAAAGCAAATTCTATTGATATTTTCTTCAGATACTCCAACGCTTGTAAATACTGCCAAAGCATTAAATATGACTAAAGAAGAATTTGATAATGCTAATATGGGAAAATGTTTAAAACGTTATGCTCATGTACAAGAGATCGTGAATATGGTGGTTTTTCTTGCATCAGATTTGTGCACATTTTGTACAGGATCGAATGTCATCGTCGATGGTGGTTATACAGTAGTATAATGATGCCAAAACTCGATATTGTCTATATTGGTAGTTGGTATGATACTTGATTTGATAGAAAATAAATAATCTCATTCTTAGCCTTGCTATTATCTAAGTATTTTAACTAACAGAAACTTCATTAAATGTATCAGTGTAATCAATATATCGATTTCTAGACAGACATACTTTATTTTTAAGACTATAACTACGACTATAAAATTAGATGTAACCTTTAGCTGTAACCTTCGATTATTCAGACATGTATTCCAGATCTATGTGAGTTGCACAAAAGATTAAAACCTATCAAATACAAAGAAACATTTAGGTCTTACATATGGGGCATGGAGCATGTCAGCGAAACGCTAAACCGATCGTTGCTTTCTATATTTCCGGTGTTCAGCTAAATAACTACAATCGTACAACAGCACAAGTCATATACCTGTGGAAAAACTGACCTACCCGGTATCAGAGTTGGAACCGGTACCGAACCGGCCGGTTAACACCGGTTTTTAGCGGTTTTTTTTACCAGTTTAACTACACTTCAACTGACCCGTTGATGTTGGTTTCGAATCACAAGCGAAACTTGAGTACTGTATAACAAAAGTTCGAGATGTCAACTGGAATCGCCCAAGGGAGATTGAAAAAAGGCAGTAGATCCAGAAAGATCTATTAATTCATTTTACATTTGTCCTATCATTGGCGAATTTCGGATATAGATGAACACAGGTTAAAATTTTCTCCCATTATTTTCTTTCACATTTCGAAAACATTCGTCCGAAAACATTTCCTTCTTCGTTAAATATTAGCCCGAAAAAAAAAGTTTTTTTTGTCCATTAAAACCTGATTAATCTATATATCTTTTTCCTACTGAGTTTCATACACCATCAGAAATTAGTCCGCGAATTTTTCTGCGTTTCGCACTGGGTTGAACTTCGTTGAACACAAGCTTAGCTTTCTGCAAAAAATCGGTTTTTCACAGAATCTGGACTTTAATCTGCTATGGAATCGACCGGTTTATTATCGGTTGAACTACGCATTAAACTGGCTGGACCGGTTTTTCGAAAAGCTGAAACGTCCGGTCCGATTAGGAAAAATTCAACCGGTTCCAACTCTGCCTGGTATAACTAATATCGTGCTTTGCGTCTCCCACTTTTGGAAATCTGTGTGTCAGTCTTAGAACAGAAGTATTTATACTGTTTGTTGCAAAACTAGATAAACTACAATCCCACACTCACTATTG